AATATCCCATTTTGATTAACAAGATGCCCCAAGAATTGGACCTCTCGTAACCAAAAATCACACTTGGAGAATTTGGCATAAAGCCTCTCCGACCTCAATACCCCGAGGATCTCCCTCAAATGTTCCTCATGTTGTTCTTGGGATCTAGAATACACTAGAACATCATAAATAAACACGATCACCGATCAATCCAACATCGGCCGACATACTTTGTTCATGAGATCCAAGAATGTTGCTGGTGCATTGGTGAGCCCAAAAGGCATCACCACAAACTCATAGTGCCCATATCGTCTCCTGAACGCTGTCTTCTGGATATCCTCATCACGCACCCTCATCTGGTGATATCCAGACCTCAAGTCTATCTTGATAAACCAAGATTCCCCTTGAAGCTGATCGAACAAATCATCAATCCTCGGCAACGGATAACGTTTCTTGAACGTTAACTTGTTCAACACCCAATAATCAATGCACATCCGGTGTGAACCATCCTTTTTCTTGACAAAAAGGATCGGCGCTCCCCACATCGAGCTACTCAGCCGAGTAAACCACTTCTCCAATAGCTCCTGAAGCTACGAGGATAACTCTTGCATCTCTGAAGGCGCAAGGCGATAGGGCGCCTTGGCAATAGGTGCTTCCCCCATAACCAAATCGATACAGAACTCTACCTGCCTCTCGGGAGGCACACCCGGCAACTCCTCGGGGAAAACATTCGGGAACTTGCACACTATCAGAACCTCGCCAACTGATCTCGGTCTCTCCAAATCAATCCTCGTATCCATCACATATGCTACGAACCCCTTACAGCCCTGCTGCAAACTCTGCCTCGCTCTGGCAGTCGAACAGAACGCTAACCCACTTCTAGTTCCCTCGCCATAGACTGTCAGCACTCCCCCACTAAGATCTCGAATCGTCACCAATTGCTGCTCGCAGTCTATCACACCCCCAAATCTGCTCAACCAATCCATCCGCACGATGACACATATGTCCCCCATCGCAATCGGGACCAGATCTATCGGAAACCCAACGCCGAAAATCTCAAGAACACACCCTCGAATCACGTCTGTGGCATACACTGCTCGCTTGTTAGCTATAGAAACTTGTAGAGGTCGACTCATCGCCTCTCGCTGGATACTGATGTGTCTACTGAATGCTAATGAAACAAATGACCGACTCGCACTCGAATCAAACAACACCAAAGTAGGTACATAATTCACAAGGAAAGTACCTACGCATATCATAATATAAACACAAGATCTCATTATAAACAAATAATAACAGAATACATACCAGCCATGACATTGGGTGCTGCGCGGACCTTCTCTGCTGTCAACTGGAAGGCTCTCCCACGAGCCCTCGGTGCCTCGGCCTTCACTGGCCGAACCTCAGTAGCGCGCACGGTGGCAGGGGCGGATCCCTGCTATGCTCCCTGTGTTGTCCCCCGCAGCTGCGGACACTCGGCCTTCCGATGGCCCGACTGGTTGCAATGAAAGTAAACCATGAATCCCTTGGGGGTTCCTTGGCTATATGCCCCTCCTTTCCACATTTGTAGCAAGCACCATATCGACAAACTCCATCATATCCCTTGCCGCACTTTTCGCAAGTGCGACCCTTCTAGCCTCCAAATCTCGAATCGGCGGGCTTTGCCCGATTGGCTACCGGCTGAGACTGTGTCGGCCGCCTATCCAATCCCTGAGACTCGGCCTCCTCCCTGGCATGAGTCTCCAACTCAATCTCTCTCTTCTGGGCATTTTCCTGAAGCTCATCAATTATCCGGTAAGTCAAGTTCGATACGAACTCTTAAATGTCCTTCCTCGTAATGCTCAAGTACCAGCTCATGCGTGCCTGCTCAGACGACACGAGCTCAGGGCAGAACATCGCCCTCTCATGAAACTTCCTGGTGATCACAATACTGACTTAGTACCCTGCTTGAGGGTCAAGAACTCATGGGTCAAATGTTCCCTTTCCACCGGGGGAACATACTCATCTCTGAACATTGTGGTGAACCTCTCCCAGGTCACCGTTGAGATCTCCGCAGAAGTAAGATGCACCGTCACAAATTTCCACCAATCCTTCGCTCCCAAGCGAAGTTGGTTCAGTGAAAACCGAACCCTCAGATGCTCTGGACACGAATAGGTGTAGAAGCACCCCCTTAATATCATATATCCATCTCATCGCAGGAATCGGATACTGCATCCCATCAAACTTTGGTGGCTTCGTGTTGCTGAACTCCCGATACAGCAACGAGTCACCCCCTGTGGCCTGGCAGCGGCGACGGCTGCAGTGGCCGTGGCCGTGGCAATAGCAGCGTCAGTAAGAGCGGCGTACCGCTCATCAAAGCTCTCAATCAGTGTGGTATTGATAGACCCGAACATCTCTGGTATCTCAGCTCGGATGGCCACAGCCACCTCATCATGAATCATCTGGCGGAGCTCCTCATCGCTCACACCCCGTCGCTGGTCCCTGGTCTGTGGCATGTCCCAACCATGATGCCTCTGAAATACAACATAAAAATATCGAAGACTCACTCGAGCATACTCTCACTCGATAACTCAACCCTACTTGCTCCCTAGTACCCTAAGGATTCTTACTTGGACTGCGCACTAATCCGGTGTCTTCGCTAGCTGATCGTACACACTGCTTCTTTTTGCTTTACTCAAATTCTTTTACTTTTTGGAAAAATTGTTTCTTTTATGAAAATGTTTTTCAAATCCTCAGTTTGAGTTCAAATACACTCGAAGGTGAATCCGAATCCCTCAAACTAAGGCTCTGATACCAACTTGTAACACCGTGAAATTTCAAAACAATTTTTCATTTTAATTTAATAAAAATACCCCAATCACAATTCTCAAAAATGTGTATCATTTATTTTTACATAACATAAGTTCAAATCAAAATCCGCAGAATCTCAAAAAATCTCCACCATACGTGTATACTGATCATACCGGCGCCTTCCCGCGATCATAACTGGTACCTGAAACACATAACACGCAAACGGTAAACAATAATGCTTAGTGAGTTCCCCAAAATACCACGTACGACATATACGCCTTTCTAGGCCATAGCTCTATGGGATCTTCCGATCTAGGTGTCTCAGGGGATTTCCATCCCATAAATCTGTTAACCTTCCAGTCCATATCATCATACTCATATCATAGCATATAACATATACAACATACATCACATTTTCATCATACACATAAGACCTTCCAGTCACACATAATCACCCCATCGGGTAAGGCATAGTGAGAAGACTCACCTCGAAGATGTCGGATAATCACTCGCGCTCAATCCTCCGACCTAGCTTCCTCCTATAGCATAAATACATCTCTAATTAATACCTTCCTGACTTAATTTGACTAATGCCCTTAAGTCAACACAAGTCAACTCTGGTCAATGTTGGTCAATGCACACCCTCCCTTGACCCAACTTGTCGAGTCAGGCACTGACTCGGCGAGTTCAGACGTGAACTCAAGTCCCCTAAATCCCCCTCTGACTCACTGAGTCACTCTTCCAACTCGGCAAGTCATCAACTGTGTGAGTCACGGGACAACCCGGTCTGACTCGTCGAGTCTGCTCATGGACTCGGCGAGTTCATTCCATGCTCGAACTCAAATGGCCTTCTGAGGTCATATCTGCTTCTCTAATCTATAGATCTGACCTTCCCAAACAATATAATCATGTAAAGATCACATCTTGGCACCCATGCAACGCCTACAAGGCTTCTTTTGGTGAAATGACCTCTAAAATGGTAACCTAAGTCCACAACTCAAAAGGAAAGGCATAAAGCAGGGCATTTAGGACTCTCTATACCTTCTAAAGTCCAAATCTAGGTACTAATTCCCCATGGGACCTCTCACACACCAAATACAAGCTAATCAAGGCATGAAGAAACTCTAGATTTGACTATATCAACAAAAACACGAGAATAAGCTCTGAATAATACCTCAAATAGCTTCCTCTGCCCAAATGAAAGTAGATCCAAGCTCTCCAACTCTCCTAGCTTGACCTTCCTCTTCCCTTCTTGCTAAAATACACAAGGATGATGAATAGTTGCCTCTTTTCTCACTCACAAGGACTCTCAGGTGCTCTGATGCTCTCAAAGACGAAGGTAGCTGCAATGAAGGGTTATAAGGTCCTTTAAATAGGGCTTAGACCCGAGAAATTAGGGTTTTAGTCGCTAGCACGGAATCGTCAAGTCCCCTCACCGACTCGTCGAGTCCACTCATTAATCCAGTCATCACCATGCGACCCTACTCGACGAGTCTAGGCATCAACTCGTCGAGTCTCTCTCTCTTAGACTCCAAAAATAAATGATAAAAATAATACCTGAAATCCTGGATGTTACACTTTAATTCATTCTTCAAGTCTTTCCCATCAGGTCTTCAAGCCATTCTTCAAACCATTTCTATCATAAATCCATTGCCAAGTAATTTGTAGTAATACACTTGTGTTTGCATTCTGATATAAAAAATAAATAAAGAATAAAATTCAAGCTCATTCTTAGAGAACAATCATTGTAAAAGAATAAAATTAAAGCTTCCCTGCCTTTCTTGGTTGTGTCTGATCAATTTGCAGGATTACATGTGAAGAATATTTCCCTTCTTCATTCTGAAAAAATAGTAGCCTTCTTCAAACTAAAGCCCTCCTTATTCTAAAATAATATTGCCCTCATTCTGAAAGAATTTTCAAGTTAACATTCATTTGGTAAAGCAAACAAGTTATATTACTGTAGGTGAAAATAAAAAATTATAAAGTTTGAAACCATTTAAAGCTAAAGTTTGTAAACCTTTAAGTATTACTCAATTAACTAAAATATTTATTAAAAAAAATAAAAGAGAGAGAGAGAGAGAGAGAGAGAGAGAGAGAGAGAGAGCATGGATGGGATTTGTTGCCATATCAGCCAAGCTGATGATGATATTCGCATGCAAACAAATAATAAAATAATAAATCATCACAAATCAAGGAATGTGAATGGAATGGAATGGAAATATGCAATGGAGTCAGTCATTACCTTGAGAAGGTGCAGTAACATAATAAGCAAGACCACCAACCGGAACAAATTTACTAGAGTATTCAGATTCCTTCCATTTTCCCAACATATTAAACAAGAAATTCCCAATGTACTTTCTGTGCAACAACTGAAAATGAACAAAAAAAACAATATAAGTAATTATTCAATTCAACAAGTAAAGAAATAAAGAATAGATAAAAGTTTACAGGTCAAAACATCGGTAGTAGTTTATTCCTCTTGTGAAACTAGTTTGCTCAAACTTTTTGGTGTAATAATCAACATCTTCTTCGGATAACCATGATGGCAAGATGACATGATTATTATACAAAGCTCCAAAGGGCTTATCTTTAGGGAAATAAAACGGATCAGGATCACGATGTGTCAAGAATTTCTCAAAAACCTTCTTAGTTCCAAGACTCGCAAACACAGCTTCTATTTCCCCTGGATCCTACAACAAGATATAGTTCTTAAAATTTCGGTAAGAGTCTTACAGCAGAAATGTTACCTGAAATCAACAAATGTAGTGATCATCTTTGTATGCAACACGAAAATCTCTACAATTTTATGGTGACGGTTTCTTGGGGCAAAGTGAACGCTCAAATTGACCAAAGCTTTAACTTTGTCAAGTCTAAACAAACAAAGGCTCCAAGCAATCATGGCGCCCCAGTCATGCCCAACCGCAAACACCTTATCTACCAAAGAGTGGCGATGAGTGCGACCATGTCGCCGACAACGTGAAGTGTAGTGAACTTGGTAGGATCGTTAATAGGTACTCTGGTGGTGTCTCCATAGCCACGGGGGTCAGGGGCAACTGCTCGGTACCCGTGGGTGGCAATGTAGAGGATCTGATGGCGCCAAGAGTACCAGAGCTCAGGAAAGCCGTGGAGTAGCAGTACAATTAGGACCTGACCCATCTCTGCATTCCTTCTCTCTCTATTCTTTCTACAATTGTAACAGCCATACACATATCATTCGTTTCGTCAATCGATTTAGGGCTTGAATATAGAACAATTACAGAAGATAGAGAGAAATGGTGAAATCGATCTACAAGGGTGGTGGGAAGCGGTGAAATCGATTTAGGTCTAATGGTCTATATTTATCTTTGCTTCTTGCGTGATATAAGGAAAGCTTCTTGCGTGATATAAGGAATTGTTGTTGATCTACCATAATTAACGATGCAAAGATTACTATAATACCCTTAAATGATTTATTTAATTATTCATGTTTTCCTAATTTCCTATTGGTGCATTCATGCACACAATAGTTGCTAGACACATTTGAACCCAACTCTCTCTCTCTCTCTCTCTCTCTCTCTATATATATATATATATATATATTATATATATATATATATATATAATATATATATATATATATATATATATATATATTGAACCGGCAAATCTAATCTACTCCTAAGCTAACAACACCTATTCCACCTATGTCCACGACAGGACTTGAACCCTCGACCTCAAAGAGGGAGGGCACCACCTGATACCGCTGGGCTACAAGCCCTTTTGGTATATATATATATATATATATATATATATATATATATATATATATATATATATATATATATATATGTATATGGAGTAAGATCAAATGAAAACACCAAAAAGGTTGAGAACGCGAGAACAAAGTATATTTATTTGTGATTCCATGTATTCATTTATGGAGAAATGATAAATTTTTACGCCTTTAATTTCAATTGAAGAGAAAAAGCATATTCATATTGATTGCGCGTAAAAATACATCATTTCTCCATAAATGAATACATGGAATCACAAATGAATATATTTGTTCTCGTGTTCTCAACCTTTTAGGTGTTTTCATTTGATCATTTCCCTATATATATATATATATATATATATATATATATATAATATTATATATATATATATATATATATATATATATATATATTTATATATATAATCAACCTAAGTTTATTATGCATTAAATCCATTAAATAAAAAAGAAACATCTATCTTAATTAATATAACATAACATCCATCCATTCAATTATTATCATATGGCCACAACACCTATATTAATTCTACCACCATCAACGATGGTCCTAAGTGCTAGAGGAAAAGTTTGTAGGTTGTTTTCAAATGAACTCTAATTTTGGAACTAGAAGTACTACATAATTATGATTTAGGTAAGAATAATAAATAAAAAAAAAAAAAAAAAAAAAAAAAAATGCAAACTATTGGTCTACAAGATATAATTAATAATACGGAGAACTTGTAATGGTTGATATACTAAATTATTTTTATGGTTGATATACTATTGAACTTGTTAAAATTGTTCAAAAAAACAATATGATCGAATTTTGTTGGTTTCTAACGTTTTTCCTGGTCAAATATGAGTTTTGTGGCCAAGTATGAATTTTACGATCAATTTCTCTCGCCAAACATGGATTTTACGATGAGGTTTTCAAATTCTAAAACCTATATCTGATGACCAAAACACTCAAAAACATTGATGAACGATTTTAGACAAAAAAAAAATTTGTTAATGAACAAACAAAATTTGAAAACCCTATAAATCTCAAGAAATCTTATCAATGATTCTTTGAAAAAATGATTCTTAATATGTTGTCACAACTTTTGATGTTCATGTCTTATTGTTCATCAGAGTATTAGATTTGTCATGGTTCTGAAATATAAACAAACGGAAGCTGAAAACCATATAACTTCAAGATATCTTAAGAACGAAATAAAACCCTAGAACTCATAAGAATTATTTGACAAACCCTACGAAGGTTTGGAAAATAACTGAACAAACAAACGAAGATATGATGAACATCAAGAAATCTCAAGAACGATATAATGAACGAACATAAAATACAGACCCATAATAAAAAACCCCTTGAGCTTGAAACCCTAGAAATATTAAACCCTACAACTCGAATATGATGGAAATCGAAAGCCTAGCAATCAAGTTTCGATTTGTATACATTTAGATTTCAAGGGTTTTTTGTTTATGATATTTCAAGAACATTATTTCATGGGTTTTTTATCTGAAAAATGTGTGACCGTCAAGAACTCATAAAACTCACCAAAAAATCAATGTATAATGACTGGAAAACTCATATTTGGCTGGAAAAAACATCGAAAAAAAAAACTATACATACCCTGCCATATTGGTATTTTTGAACAATTTCAATAAATTTAATGGTATATCGAACATAAAAATAAGTTTAGCGGCTAAATGTATGTACACTTTACTCAAATCCGATGATATTCTGTTTACAAATTAAGAGATAGATCATTGTTACGATTGTTATCACTAATGTTTTTTATAGTTTACCCTACTGTTACATTTTTATATTTGTAAAGTAAAACAATAAACGAACTTACTATTATTTTATTAGAGCATCGATGTATACATTAAGGATTACTTTGATTTAGAGGTTACAATCACACATAGACACAACAGTCCCTCTTCTTCATTAAACGCCAAATCAATTCGATATAAGACTATACTCATTGGTAAATAAATGTTGTTGGGTTGGTCTAAAAACATTTAAAAATATCAAATGGCTTTCAAGAATCCACCGAATATGTCATTATAGTTTAGCCATTTCTTTATTAAATTCTTCTTTTTGCAATGTTGGATAAACAAAAATATATATGAGTGTTTACTAAAATCTAACATTAAAAAACAAAAAAAGTTATTTCTAATTATATTATATTTCTTTTCTTCTAGATATATTTATCATAAAAAATATAAGAAATTATCAAATATTATAATTTTTATTCCCTAATATCGATGTATTTTCATATCCAATTCCGATCTTCATTTTTTTATCTTTTTCGCTTTTATATTTTATGTCTGTATCCTTCGTTACAAATACTATGTATTTTGTACCTTCTAAATATTTAATTTTGTATTTCATGTTATATTTTTAATTTGATTTATCCTTTTATTAAGTATGTTTGAGGAATGTTATATATTTTTATATCTATTTTTTTAATATTTTTATGTCTTAAACAAATAAATTATATGTTTCTAAAAATAATAATACTTTTAATAAGTTTTATTTTAATAAAAAAGAAATATAAGTTATATTTCTTTAAAAAAAAATGATTTACGTTCGGTTGTTAATAGAGGTTAGTATTTAACCGTTTGAAACTATCCTAGAGTTTTTTTTTTACATATACAATATTACATACCTCCTCTAACAAAATCATCAGTAGCACGATATGAAATAGAAAGCTACCGGTATTCTGTTGTGGTTGTGGAGTTGGATGGGATAGATGATAGTCATACCAAACCGTTACCAATCTTATGTTGGAGGGAAACATTTGTTGAACCACAAGAAATATTCCAAAAAAAAAAAAAAACAAATCAACATGAAAAATAATAAATAAATAAATAAAATCTCTTTCACGCCTATGATTAAAGGTAAAAAAGAAAAAGAAAAAAGAGGCTTTGAGGTTGTGACTTGTGCTTTCGTCTCTACTATATAATATATATATATAGTATATTCATTTCTACACAAGTTATGAATGGCAAAATAAAAGGAACAAGAATTTAATATAATAGAAAATCTAGTGCTAGTAATTAATTATTAATGTCTTGTGTTGGAGCTGCGAAGAGTGACTCCATGCAAAAATTTGGTATATCCAAGCAAACTCAGTTTACCATCGCTTCTAATCCAGTCCTTGATTATGGAATGTGCGGTGGGACCCACGTTAAGCTCCTACAGCATGATCATTAATAATTAAAATAAAAACTTATAATAAAAATAAACAATAAATTAAGAAAAGAAAAATACCCGAGCAAGTTCCTCGACAGAGACGGTACGGTTACCCTCCTGTTCAAAGTAGTCAAATGCTGTTGACCCGATCTGGTCCCAAGTCCCCAGGGCTTCCAATTGGTATGTGCTGATGGCTGCTGCACAGAACTCTTCAAAGTCCATCTTCCTGTAAGACAGGGGCGCCATCTACAACACCACATATTAATCATAATTAGTCATATCACTCTATCATATAAAGCCAAGGTAGTAGTAGTAGTAGTAGTAGTAGGCTAGATGAGATGTGATTATGTGATAATAGCTGACCGACCGCATTTAGTATATCAGGGACTCTAGACTCCTTCATCGCATCTGTAGCATTTCGCAGGAGAGCCTGCACGCAAGCACCAAGTAAAATGAATGGCTGTGTATATTCATATTATTATTATTATTATTACTATTATTATTAAGGCAGAAAAGGTGGTGTTGTGTTCTGTTTAGTTAGTGTTTACCATTCTGAAGTTGTCAAGCGACACACGCCCGTCTTTGTTTGGTTCCAAAAGCATAAACTGGGCTCTTAGGTAAACCAATTCATCCTCTGTCAGAGCTTTCGAGAGTGCCTTCCAGTTCCAGTGCAAACAAATCAAATATTCAGAAGCAAATAAAATATTCGGAACCAAAAACCAAAATGCAAATAAATTAATACCTTGAGTGCAGCCCGTTTGAATGGAGACGCATGAAGATACGACTTCACCAATTTATATATCAATATATCTAAAGGAATTGGATGATTTTCGCTCGACAACCATGGATGAGCTGGCCAGTGTAGTTTAGTTGGTTTTCAGTTAGTTGTTTGGACCGAACTAATAATAATATTATTATTATTAAAATTAAAAACTTACTCAGAGCTTGAGCAGCACTCATTCTCTTTCTGTAGTCTTTATTCAAGAGCCTTTTAACAAAATCTTTGGCTTCCGGTGATACAGAAGGCCATGGTATATCATCAAAGTTAGGATCTGCTCTTAATACTGCCCGGAATATCCCAGATTCAGTTCTTGCCCAGAATGGTCTGCTTCCACATAATAATATATAACAGATCACACCAATACTCCATATATCTGCCTCCAGGCTATAAGATCTATGAAGCACTTCTGGTGCAACATAATA